CTCACTCTCTTTCTCAAATAAGTAAATAAAATCTTTTTTTTTAAAAAAAGGATACAAAACATAGAAAAACATAATCATTATTAGACATGAGGAAAATCAAAACTAAAATGAAATACCATTACAAACTAATATAATGGCTCAAATAAAAAACCTGTTATCATTAAATGCTTGTGAAGAGGCAGAGGAGCTAGAACCCTCACGTGCTGCTAATATAAATGAAAACTGGTACAGCCATTTTGAAAAAGTTTGATAGTTTATTAAGTTAAAATATACTTATTATGAGACCCAGCAATCCCATTCACTCCTTGGCACTAACTCAAGAGAATGAAGATGTATGTCCACACATAGAAATCTGTATATAAGTGTTTATGGCTGGAAATAATCCAAATATGTATCAAGTGGTGAATGGATAAATAAACTGTGGAATAGCTATATAAAAGATCACGACTCTTCAATAAAAATAAATTAACTGAAACTTGGACCTGAGACCAAATGAATGGCACTGCCTTTGAGTTCCAGATCTGTCAAATAGGTAGCCCTGGACATTGCACTGACACTTTAAGACCCAATTTCTCTAAAGTTTTAAATGAGTCAGAAGTAGATGAGCATGGAAATGCTTCATGAACAATCATTATGAGATTCCATGAGGTAAGGATAGCATCACTAGTACCACATGTGGTGATGGACACATGTGACAGCAGCATCTGTAAAGCACAGGGCTATTTAGGGAAAGTGGAGGCAGAATTTCTTCCTTCTTCCTGCTTAAGGCTATCCTCAGACCTCACTCTCAAAAGTTCTCCGATGAAGTGGCCTTTCCTGAGTAACCTACCCCCAGGCCAGCCCAGCTTACCTTGCTCTTCTGAAGGCTGGCCCAAAGTCCTCACTGTCACACAATGTTGTGGCTTCTGAATGTGGTAGCATCACCAAGTCTGGCTCATTCTTGACAAGGGGATCAAGAACTGCTTCTGGCTGTACTGACCTTTGTGGGCTCTTTGTCTCTGCTCTGAAACTCTGGAGAGAGGTCTAAAGTGAAGGGGTGCTCTCTTCCAGGGAAGACATTCCTATCTAGAATCCCTTTGCTTTCTGCTTCACAAGAGCTACTTTGTTCTAAAATGAAGGACCTGGACCCTGAGGAACTAATTTTAAAGTCTCAAAGCTTACCCTCTTGGAGTTCACTATAATCTCAGACTGAAAACATAGCCTGCCAGTGCATCAGGGGCTAGGAGGGTCTGTTTGACTTAGGGATATAAAGAGACCCCAGAAATCCCGGAAGACATTTGCCGAGTGGTAGATTCTATCTACATTCACTTCCCATTATATCCTTGGCAATTTGGGGACAGGTCACTCTGCTAAGTACTCTGAAGGCTGCAGCGCTGGTTTTAAGCGGATGTGATATTTACACAATGCCTGAGGCAGGAAGTAAAGCAGGCCTGCCCTTGAATCCAGATTCCTTCACTGCTAGCTTTTGACCTAGGCACATCACTGCACCAACCCGAGCAAATAGTTATACCGATATCATAGAATGGTTGTGAGGTTTACACAAGTCATCCAATGAAAGGAATAAAGTGTCTTCTAAATCTAACAAGTTGTCACTTATTCAGGGCTTAGTACCCTGAACTAGTCTTTTTGATTTACAACTTAGACTTATCTAAGTTTCAAAACAACACCATAAAGCAATTATTATTAATATCCTCATTGTCTGTTGAGAAACTTCTTACCCAGGTTCCTTTTCTAGGCCCTGCTTACAGGTGGCAGCTGGAATTTATCCTGGTCTTTCTGGCTCCAACACAGACCCACCGCAGCTGCTTTCTGGCAAGCTCACAGTCTGCAAAATAAATACAATTTCCCTTCCGGCCACCAACAGGGCCTTTTCTCGGGTTGTGCTGCAGGGTGTGTGTGTGGGGGGGGGGGGCGCAAGGTCCCCATACTTTCTGGCCTGCGCTGAGCACCTGCTCCTTACATGGGCTCAGCCCCATCTGCACCTGGGAGCCTGATTCTGGAAGTAGAGCCCAGGGTGTCTCTAAGACTTCCTGCTCCTGCCCTCTGGGTCACAAGCCCATTCCTCTAAAAAATTCACAGGCCGATCCATCTGGTAGCATGAGCCAGCCAGACCCACGATCACTTTTGCCTTAAGCCTCCAAGGCTAGACACTTAGAACCCACCCCTGCGGACTCCTTTCTCAGCCCCTCCCAATACAGTGAAGCTGGTGCGGACCCCTGGGCCTGCGGAGGGCAGCGGGCGGCTGGCGGAGCTCTGCAGGTGCTCACAGGTGCCCTCAACCCTCCTCTGGCCCGCAGCGCCACTTGGCTCCATTGCAGTCACGGCGTACCCCGGAGTCCCGAGGCTTGGCGCATCCTTTTGCCCTGCTGCTCCGAGTCCTGGGACGTTCTCCCGCCTACTCCTTCCCGGCGGCCTTGTCGGCGCGGATCTGCACATCCTCCCGTCTCAATAGGTGGGGTCTGGAGATGGTCCTCCCTGCCGCGGTGTCCCGGGCCAGCGTGAAGGGAGTCTGGGTTTACTCGGGTTGGGAAAGGAGTAGTCTATGTTGGACAGTTCCAGAGGGTCATGCACATATCCCCTTAATCAGACTTTTTTATCTTTGCAAAAAATGGACCCTAAGTCGTGTTGGCTCTTTATCGGAAGGTCAAAAAATTTTATTTTCCATAAACAGTGCAATTGGTTTATTAAGAATCAAATACCCGGGATCCCTGGGTGGCGCAGTGGTTTAGCGCCTGCCTTTGGCCCAGGGCGCGATCCTGGACACCCGGGATCGAATCCCACATCGGGCTCCCGGTGCATGGAGCCTGCTTCTCCCTCTGCCTGTGTCTCTGCCTCTCTCTCTCTCTCTCTCTGTGTGTGACTATCATAAATAATAAAAATAAATAAATAAATACATGCAGCTCTTTAAAAAAAAAAAAGAATCAAATACCCTTCTTTTTAATGAAATACAGCTTTCTGGGGGCACCTGGGTAGCTCAGTGAATTAAGCCTGTGCCTTTGGCTCAGGTCATGATCTCAGGGTTCTGGGATGGAGCCCCCTTATGGGTCCCCCTCCCCCAGTTCAGCAGGGAGTCTGCTTATCCCTCTCCCTCTGCCCCTCCCAGCTCTCTCTCAAATAAATAAATAAAATCTTTAAAAATAAATAAATAAATATAGCTTTCTGGATAAAAAATCCTTGAACTTGTAAATGCAGAAGCTAAATATGACAGTGTAAGAAATAATCAGCCCAACTACATTTAATTGTTTTCTAATAAGCTTTGCAACTTGATATTTTATTGCCCTTATGCTCTGCGCTAAACAAGACTTATTTTTTAAACACTTGAGTTACACTTGTTTATTTTTAAAGGTAAATATATCTAAGTGTTTCTTCCTTTTTTTTTAAGATTTTTATTTATTGGGATCCCTGGGTGGCGCAGCGGTTTGGCGCCTGCCTTTGGCCCAGGGCGCGATCCTGGAGACCCCGAATCGAATCCCACGTCAGGCTCCCGGTGCATGGAGCCTGCTTCTCCCTCTGCCTGTGTCTCTGCCTCTCTCTCTTTCTCTCTGTGACTATCATAAATAAATAAAAATTAAAAAAAAAAAGATTTTTATTTATTTATTCATGAGAGACACAGAGAGAGAGAGGCAGAGAAAGAGGCAGGCTCCATGCAGGGAGCCTGATGTGGGACTGGATTCTGGGACTCCAGGATCACGCCCTGGGCCAAAGCCAGGTGCTTTACCGCTGAGCCACCCAGGTGCCCCTATTTAAATGCTTCTTTTGAAAATGCAAATACTTGCTCAATTTGATGAAAATTCAGCAGTGATGATGGGATAATGGAAGCTAGCTCCCTCTTTTCTATCTCATCTTCCAAATAAAACCAATATTAACTGATGCTTAACTCTAGACTTTATGCTAAAGCTAACAATGGATTTTTAAAAAAGCATGATTCCTACTTATTTACAATTTGTTTTTACACTTAAAGTTATCTGGTCAGTCTTTGTAGGAGTAAATCATTCTTTTCTGCATTGTAGGGCATATCATGCTTATTCAATCAATCTCTTTGTGGTTCATATTTAGCTTGTTTCTAGTTTTCACTATTATAAAGAATACATAACAAGCATCATCATCCATGTATCTTTTGCATATATATGTGATTGTTTTTTGGCACAAATGCCTGAATGGTAGATTTGCTCAATTAAAATGTGTACATGTTAACTGGCACTGAGGAGGGCACTTGATGGGATGAGCACTGGGTGTTATACTATATGTTGGCAAATCGAACTTCAATAAAAAATAAAATGTGTACATGTTAAATACTTGTTAAATGCAAAGTCTTCAGAAAGGTTATTCCCCAGATTAATTTTAACAGCAGATATCATGCATTTTTGAAAATGGATTATTAATGATGCTTAAATTAAAAATGTTTTATTGGACAGAAAGTGGATGAAACACATATTCATTCGACAAACATTTATTGAAAACCTACGGTGTGACAGACCTCATTCCAGATGCTGGAATAATAAGCAATACAAGTCTGCACTCCTGCATAGTATTTGATCAGGATTGCTGAGGTCAATTAAGAAACGATGGGATACTTAAGGAGATATAATAAAAAAATATGTGCAGGGTTGGTGAGTCATCTGTTACTAGTGACAGCAGGGAGCCATTACCACCACAAGAACTACCGTGGAGGCAGAAACTATTACTACATCCTGGCAGAAAAGACTGCACCAAAGGGAGCCTTACAAAGAGAAACATATTCATGGCCAACTTTTGGTGCAGTATAAGGAGCCAAAGGTGTAAACATCCATATTTCATTTGCTTTCCACCCTCTCATATCGTATCCCCTAATGAGCATTTACATCTCCTCACTCTGTGCCATTCTTAGAAATGCATCCACATAGTCTCCTCTGGAGTTCCTTGCTAATTTTGCAGTTATATTTTTTCCTAGCCCTGGAATACCAATCAACTCACTGAGCCATTGGTCATGAATCAGTGTGATTCTTAATATGTCTCCTTTTGTGCTTGTTTTGGCAGCACATATACTAAAATTGGAACAATACACAAGGAGATTAGCATTGCCCTGCACAAGGATGACATGCAAATTCATGAAGTATTCCTTATTTATTTATTATTATTTATTTATTTATTTATTATATTTTAAATATTTTATTTATTTATTCATTAGAGACAGAGAGAGAGGCAGAGAGAGAAGGAGACTTCTTGCAGGGAACCCTATGCGAACTCAGTCCCAGGACCCCAGGATCACGCCCTGAGCCAAAGGCAGACGCTCTACCTCCTGAGCCACCCAGGCATCCCCCTTTTTTAAAAATGATTTTATGTATTCCATATTTAAAACAAAAGCAAAACAATACACATCTCCTTCCATACAAAGTGGACAACCAAATATACTTCTCAAAAATCCTGCCCATAGGGAGAATTTTTCTGTACCAGTCTTTCATGGTCACACCTGAATGGAGCTGTAATACAGTCATTCTCTTCTAGATGATGCTACCACACCTTGCAGATGATATATTTATAACCCAAGGAGGGCTCTTTTTTTTTCCTGTGGAAATGTCAAATGTTTATGGTGGACTTCCCATGGGGAGGATACATGGAGGATTATGTATTGGGGAAGTAGGAATATGTACCATGTGAATGTGAACCACTTGCTTATACAGTTTGCTTATACCTTCTGGTCTTGCACCTACCATCCCATTTAACAAAGGAATAGCCTTGCACACATCCAATATTTTGATTCAGTGAAATAGATTATCATGTTCATGATAGATATTTTGGGTCATTTTGCTATCCTGTGTTTAGGGAGTTTAGTCTCTATTGGGATCCAGTAGCAAATCAGAAGCTGCTTTTCAAAATTTTTTTTAATTTTTATTTATTTATGATAGTCACACACACACACACAGAGAGAGAGAGAGAGAGAGAGAGAGAGAGAGAGGCAGAGACACAGGCAGAGGGAGAAGCAGGCTCCATGCACCGGGAGCCTGATGTGGGATTCGATCCGGGTCTCTAGGATCGCACCCTGGGCCAAAGGCAGGCGCCAAACCGCTGTGCCACCCAGGGATCCCAGAAGCTGCTTTTCAAATGGAGGATAGTTATCATGAAGTGAAGGCATACCGTAATCCAAAATTCTGGGAACCTGAGCTATATTGAGTCTTCCAATCTATGAACATAGTCTGACTCTCCATTTATTCAGGGCTTTGATATTTTAATAAACATTTTGAATTTTTTGCCATACTGATCCTGCATATGTTTTATTAGATTTCTTTTAATTTTTTGGAGCAATTGTAAACAGTACTACATTTAAAATTTTCATTTCCAATTTTTTCCCTAATTTATAGAAGTATGATTGATATTTGTGTATTGACCTTATATTCTATGATCTTTCTAAACTCAATAGTTTTAGAAATGTTTGGTAGACTTCTTGGGATTTTTTTATGTAGACAATCATATACTCTGCAAATAAGATACATTTGTTTCTTTCTTTCCAATTTATATGCCTTTGTTTTGTTTTGTTTTCTTGTGTTATTTAAATGGCCAGGATCTGTACTATGTAAATTGTTTTAGGGAGAGTGAACACTCTTTCCTGGCTCTTAATTTTAGGAGGAAAAAGATTGAGACTGCAGTCATTTACTGTGCTGTTAGCATTGGTAATTTTGTGGTTCTTTATCAAATTGAGGAAGTTTCCTTTTATTTCTAGTTTGCTGGGAGTTGTTATTATGAATGGATATTGGATTTGGTCAAGTGCTTTTTCTGTATCAACTGATCTGAGTATATGGTTTTTCTTCTGTAGTCTGTCAAAATTGTAGATTACATGGATTGATTTTCATATATTGAGCCAGCCTTGTTTTTGTAGTATAAATCATACCGGTTAGTGGCAATCTTTCCACATATTTATGGACATGATTTACTTATATTTTGTTGAAAACTTGTGTGTTTTGTTCCAAAGAAAAATTGGACTGTAGTCTTTTTTCTTTCTTTCTTTCTTTCTTTCTTTCTTTCTTTCTTTCTTTCTTTCTTTTTCTTTCTTTCTTTCTTTCTTTCTTTTTCTTTCTTTCTTTCTTTCTCTCTTATGTGGTGAGAACACTTAAAATTTACTCTCATAGCAAATTTTGAGTACACAGTACATATTTGTTAACTATAGTCATATTACTGTATATTAGATATCTGGAACTCATTCATCTTGCATAACTGAAACTTTGCATCCCTTGATCAACATCCCCTCATCTCCCTCTCCCCCTGGCAACCATAATTCTTACTTTCTGCTTCTATGAACTTGACTAGATTCCATATGTCATTTTATCTTAAATGTTTGCTGTATTTACAAGTGAAGAAAACTTTGGAGATTTCCATTTCAGGCAGGTTTTAAACTACATATTCAGTTTCTTTAATGTAAAACTAAATGATCTATTTCATCTTGGGTGAGTTTTGTGTTTGTGGTTTTCAAGGAATTGGACCATTTCGTGTAAGTTGCTGAATTTCTATCTATATACTTGTTTGTATTTTTCACTTATTATCCTTTTAAAGTCTGCAGGTTGTGTAGTTAGAATTCCTCTTTTATTCCTGATGTTGATAAATTGTATTTTCCCTTTATATGTGTCAGCCTTGCTAAAAATTCATCAATTTTATTTGTCTTTTCAAAAAACCAAAACTGTTAGTTTGATTTTCTCTTTGGTTTTTGTGGTTTTAATTTTATTGACTCCTGCTCTTATTGTTATCATTCTCTTTCTTCTAGTTTTCTGTTTATTTTGTCCTTCTTTTTCTATTTTCTTGTGGTAGAAGCTTAGATTGTGGATTTGAGGCTTTTTCTTTTCTAATATAAACATTTATTTATTCTGATCATATATTAACAGAGATCTAAAAATAATAAGAAAAATCATATCCATATTAAAAGTATTCAGAATTTTATTAGCCAACTATTTGACATTTATGTCAAGTGATTGAAAAATAGATAAAAAGTGGACATAAATTCATGTAGATTAGTCAATTTATGTCTTAAGATTCTATATATACTTATACAAAGAAAGAGATTTTAAAGGCTATGAGAAAGGTGATGAGATTTGAGTTTTTTAAAATCAAAACTACTTGTGGAGTTATTGGAGGGAAGCAGCCTTAGTTAGTTACTTGGAATTTTGGCATTTTCATCTATTCATAGTAAAGTCATATGAGTAGCCTTTGTCCAGTACATTTTTCATTATTTCTTTATGCAAATTTCACAGAATAAATTCCTTTTAAGCTTGAGCAGCAATGGAAAATTGGGCATTTCTTTACCCCAAAGATACAGATGCAGTGAAACGCCAGGACACCTGCACCCCGATGTTTATAGCAGCAATGTCCACAATAGCCAAACTGTGGAAGGATCCTGGGTGTCCATTGAAAAATGAATGGATAAAGAAGATGTGGTCTATGTATACAATGGAATATTACTCAGCCATTAGAAACAACAAATACCCACCATTTGCTTCGACGTGGTTGGAACTGGAGGGTATTATGCTAGTGAAATAAGTCAATTGGAGAAGGACAAACATTATATGGTCTCATTCATTTGGGGAATATAAAAAATAGAGAAAGGGAATAAAGGAGAAAGGAGAAAAAATGAGTGGGAAATATCAGAAAGGGAGACAGAACATGAGAGACTCTTAACTCTGGGAAACGAACTAGAGGTGGTAGAAAGGGAGGTGGGCAGGGGGTGGGGGTGACTGGGTGACGGGCACTGAGGGGGGCCCTTGAGGGATGAGCACTGGATGTTATTCTATATGTTGGCAAATTGAACACCAATAAAAAATAACTATATAAAAAAATTGGGCATTTCTAAAAGAAAGATAGGCTTCCTCTAATCAGGGATTTTGAGTTATCCTTTGATTCTCAATTACAGAAATTATATTAATATATTGGTGAGCATGTTCTTTTTATTTTTTTTTCCTATTTCATTTTAAAAGATGATTTTCATTACGTATTTTAATCTCTATTCCTTGTAAACTATGGAGCCACCAAGTCTCTGATTGAAAAAACAATCATAAAAACATTGTTAAAAGGCATCAATCTTTTGTTCTCAGTCATGTGGCCTGAGTTTTATATGTTTTTTTAACTGCATGCATATTTATTTTTATTATGTGTCATTGTGAAATGTCAGTGCTATTACAGAAATTTTAAATTCAAAAAGCACATTTCATTCTTACACTCATGTCCCAAAAACTCCAGCTGAAATTTTTCCTTTACTATAATTATCACCATTGAACTTGTAGGATGGATGGCTTAAATCAGTCTTTGGCTCAGTATGAGAATTCTCTCTTCTGTGTGGATAACATATGAACATATGTGATCACTTGAATCATGAAGGAACAATACAGAGAGAATACCAATTAGTTCTTCTGAGAAGAATGGGGATTAGGAGATGGAGAATGGAAAAAGGGATAGGATTCTGAGAATATGACAAGAGTGAAAGCAGAGTTGATTGATTGCTCTGAATTGGCACATTAAAAAAGGTCGAGCAACTATATAACAAAGCAAGACTAAACATTAAACATCAAAAACAAATTTATAAAAATAAAAAGATGGTAAAGATATCTCCACAAGTCCCAGAATATGAGTTGTATCGACAAACCCCCTACCTACTAGTAGTCTGTGCAGGAAGAAGCAAGGAAAGCAATGAGATGGGACAGTTGGAGAATAGCAGCTCTGAAAGGAGATTTATTGTCTCCAGAACCACATAAGGGGCCTGTGTTAAGGTGGATGAAAGGGATAGAGCAGTATAGCTTCTATGAACTCTGAACTAACGTGCCAGGGTTCCCTTTTTAGGACAAGGTGCCACGCTGAGAAGAAATTGCTTATAGTGGAATCAAAATCAAGCAGGACCAGAACAGCGATGATGGAAAGAGAAAAGTTAGATTAATGTGAGAAAGGAGAATAAAGATAGGACATTTCAGAAAGCAAAGCCACAGTATATTTGAACTCTACACACAAGGGAGAAGGTAGTGTTGGAGGGGCTAGGATTCCATACTTATCTGGAATTTCATAGGTCTGATCTCCCCCTCATGATAGTATTAATGGAATCAAGTATTGAGCTGAGGTTCCACTTCCACACGGTGGCATTGAAACTTCACAAGCTAG